AGGCAACAGCGTTTGATCCCCAACAGTTTAGTGGGGGGGGGGGTGATATCTTAAGAAGGCAACAGCGTTTGATCCCCAACAGTTTAGTGGGGGGGGGGGGCGTGGTGGAGTCACACCCTGGCTTATGACTGCTGACTGCCGCGAAATGACTAGTCGATAAAATCAATAACCGATACTGGCATTAGATCGAATTTACCAACACGCCTACAAGCTAGCGTTACACGTAAGAATGTACCATAGGCCGCCCCGCCATTTCAAATGATTGAGCTAGAGAGTATACCTTGAAGTTCTTTGGTTAAATATTAATTGAAATGCTGAGAAGGTCGCACGTGTGTCACAAATAAAGCATTTTTTCGATTTTATTAAAAGAAACATAGTTTCCCTTTTCACCAGCAGAGTGAGTCCCTATCTCTGTGAGAACGCAAACAAAAGTTGTCATGTTTGTCTAGATCATAACATTTAATAACTTATGTTATGTTTCTGTTGATAGTCAAAGAGTGAAATGGCTCAAAGCAAATATTGACTGGTAACCGGGTCTGATAGCGTCTAGACCTGGCGTTCACTGCCTTCTGTTTCGTATTGTAAACATTATAACTTTTTTTTCTCTCCGTTGGTTCTGAAGAGCAAACCGATTAAACATTGTTGAAAATTTGCATTGTAGGAAAGATTATTCAAACATTATCAAGAGCAAAAAAAAAGGGAAAGGGGGGGGGGGGGAAAAAAGATGGGGAAAATAATGTAGAATGAAAATTCGCTATTTCAAAAAAAAATAATTAGACTCCGACAAATGAAGTCATGGTAGATAACAACAAACCAAATAATGGTAGGTTGGGGCGATTCTTTTAATGAGGACTAAATTCTACAGAGTTGGAGATCCTTCGATGACCCTCTCTGGATAATTTTAGTTTCTTCGACATAGACTAAAAATGCCTAAATCTTAATCTTCGCGTTCAAATTTTCAATCGCTTTAGAAAGTTATTTTATCTTTAAAATATGTTATTGTTTATTTTTATCTTTCATTCATCTTAGGGGTCAAAACTTCAGCCTAGTTCTAAAGGTTTGAGCCAATTGGTCAGAACTTCAGCCAAGTTCTCAAGACTTAAGTCCATTTGTCAATGCTTCAGCCTATAAGTTATCAAGACTTAAGTCTATTGGTGAAGAGTTCAGCCTGGATCTCAAGACTTTAGTCCATTGGTCAAGACTTCAGCCTTGATCTCAAGATTCAATTCCACTGGTCAAGTCTTTAGCCTAGTTCTCAAAACTTTAAACTATTATTCAAGACTTCCGCCAAGTTCTCAAGACTTTAGTCCATTGGTCAAGACTTCAGTCAAATATTCAAGATTTAAGTCCATTGGTCAAGATTTTAGCCCCGTTCTCAAGACTTAAGATCTCAGCGTATTCGCAAAGACCTTTGCCTAAAAATCAAGACCTCAGCCTACTGTTATAGACGTCAACCTTTTGGTCAACACTTCAGACTGGTGTTCAACATATTTCTCCAGACCCGTTAATGATCATTCATAGTTTGATAATGCTGTATTTTAAAACACATATTTACATAACTAATCGATGGGCGTGCCAGTTTTCAGCTTAATCCAGCCATGCCTTGAGACCCTTTCAATTTTTAAAGTGATCCTCTCGACACGTTGATGGTCCTTGAGAATTCTTAAAGTGGATCTCAAACGGGAGAATTTAACTTGATTGATTTATATATATATATATATGACAATACTGCTGATGTGGCCAAATATGAGTGTGAGGATAGCCATTTCAATCGGACGGGTTAATTAATTGATTATAAAAATGACGCATTTTGATTTATAACGGTATGCACAGTCCGACTGGTTTTGATCCAAATCTCAAGAAGAGCAGACTTTCAAAGATATCGAACGGGGCTTGCCTCACGCTGAGCGAGGACCACTTACCTTATCAACTCAGCCCCCCACCACCACCACGTGGGGCCAGCCGTGACCCAGTTACTGCCACGAGCCATGGCTACTGTTATTATTTACTGCACCTGAAGTCCACGAGTGCGTCACGCCTCATTGGTTTACTGCAACCCAAACTGCAATGGTGCATAGATAAGGAGACTTACCACAGAGGGTGTGGGGGGTGGTGGGGGAGGGGCGGTGGGGGAGGGGCTGTGGGCTGGGGGGTTGGAAGGTTTGTTGTGGCACTGTCGTGGTGACATCGTGATATAGTTTACGATAGCGCGATGTAAATTGTGTTCGACGGTTAAGTGCGGAACCGTGCGTGATATCGTGTGGGAGTGTGAGGGAAGTGTGTTTTATTCAGGAGAACTACAGTGTTTGTGGGGGGGGGGAGGGGTAGCTCAAACATTGAATTGGCTGATTTCGGACAAAGTCAAAATGATAAAATGTCCACAGAAAAAGATTACTAAGAAATTTTCCACCATGAAAAACAAAAATTGCTAAAATAATTCCATTGCTTTCTTCTACCTTTAGAAGTAAACATACTGTAAATGTCTTGAAATGGAGCTGTCACAAATATATAATCTGAAACGAAGTAGCATGTACATTGCGTTGCTGTATCTAATTGATCATTTTTTTTTTTAAACAATACGTAAATTGTTAATGAAAAAAAAAACTTCTACCCGCTCTGATCCAAACATTTTAAATTACTATTGTCATTTCAAGTTAATTGTTTTGGTGTTCAACGCTTGATCCTCATCTACGACTTGTGTTTTCAACTGACGATTGTTCTCAAGAGCTTGAGGTTGGTATGGAGGACATCCCCTGACAATGTATGTTGGCGCTGTTGTTTGATTTGTTATGCTTCCCAGCAGTGCCGTGAGACTGTGTGGGAGCAGCGGACCCCAAAGACGTTCCTGGTGTTCAAAAGCGTCATTTTGTGCAAACCTCGTGCATTAAGATATATGTATTAAAATATACATAATAATACATGTGTGCTAATATATGTGTATTAATGTAAAGGGTATCAATATAAGTGTATTGATTTATGTGCATAAACATATGTGTATTATTATAAGTGCATTAAGATATGATTATTAAAATATTTGTATTAATATATATGTATTATTATATTATTTGCTTTTTTGGGGGGTCAGGAGGGGAAATGTCCCTAAAGTCACGTTTCTTTATCGGGCGCAGCTTTTGGTTGTTACGGCCCAGCTTTTGGTTGCTACGGCCCAGCTTTTATTGCTACGGCCTAACTTTTGGTTGCTATGACCCAACTTTTGGTTGCTATGGCCCAGCTTTTGGTTGCTACGGCCCTGCTTTGGTTGCTACGGCCCAGCTTTGATTGCTATGGCCCTGCTTTGGTTGCTACGGCCCTGCTTTGGTAACTATGGCCCTGCTTCCAAGTCGTGGGCCGTAGGCATCATTCCTGTTGTGGGTAAATCCTAAAGTGCTCAACTTCAATACTTTGACTCACTGAACGAACCTAAATAGGGGATGTAATCGAGCAAAAGCTATACGCTCTTTTCTGTTTTGAGATTACTGGCCCTTTATGACGCGGTTGAACATTGTCGGCGACTTAAGTGAACATCGGTGTGCGCCTCCGGTGAAGGGGTAGTTGTGATGGAGGTTGTATGCAAAGAGTGACTATGCGATTAGGTGAATATTACTTTGTAATCTCCAACTTAGCAAAGACCGATCCAAGGAAATATTTTTTTATGGGCAGCCTTCTGTTGTATTATATGTCACATAACATGCAACAAAAATGTATTTATATATAGAGTCTAGCTGATAAAAATTAGTTTATACAGTTTAGAGCTTTGAAATAACTTATTTTGTTGATGTCTTTTGTTAATTCTTAAATTTTTAGCCCACGCTTGATGCTGCTGTTGGTGGTGATTTTGCTGTCGGTGCTGCTGTGGTATGTGATGGTGTTGTCGGTGCTGCTGGCGATGGTGATGTTGTTCATGAAGCTGCTGCTGGTGTTGATGTTGTTGCTGATGATGTTGTTGTCGATGTTCTTGTCGATGAAGCCACTGTTGGTGATGTTCTTGTCGATGCTGCTGGTGTTGGTGATGTTGGTGGCGATGCTGCTGCTGTTGCTGGGGATGTTGTTGTCGATGATGCTGTTGCTGGTGATGTTGTTGTCGATGCAGCTGTTGCTGGTGATGTTGTTTGTCGATGCAGCTGTTGCTGGTGATGTTGGCATTTTTGTTAATTATTTTGCTGATATCTTTATTTATTTTTATTTTTTTGCGTTAATGCAGTTGCCGTCTCTCAAAAAAGTTACTACACGAGAAATGACGTCATCACCCACGAACTGGGCGTGTCCACCATCTTGTAAGATATTAATGAGCTGACGGGCATCATGGCTGATTGAGTTGACGGGAGGCCCGAAAACGATAATATTATAACTACGTCACACCTATTTGTGGTAGTAACGATGTGAAGTTCTGGTCGTAAGTTGACATAATTTTGAAGTGTTAAAAAGCAAACTATGATATCTATCTATTTTTTAGTCAATAAAATCAGCTTGTTGAATAAAGGTGTCAAAATTCATGACAAGATTTCACCAAAGTATACAGAAATTCAGAGAGGAGAGAGGGAGAATGGGAGAGAGAGCGAGAAAGAGAAAGGGGAGAAAGAGAGAGAAAGATAGAGGAGAGAAAGATGGAGAGAGAGAAAGAGGGAGAGAGAGAAAGAGGGAGAGAGAGAAATAGAGAGAGTGAGAAAGAGAGAGAAAGAGAGAGGAGAGAAAAAGAGAAGAGAGAGAGAGAGTGATGACACAAACTTAACTAAAAACAGTTGATACATAACTGTTGAATTGGTTATCAATCTCTTTTTTTCTTCTGTTAATCAATGTATAAATGAGCATGCACTTGTGAAAAACGAATTTTAAAAATAAAAAAAGTTTTTATTTTAAAAATGAATACATCATATTTGCCACAGTTTTTTTTTAAATTAAAAAAAACACAAACACACACCATTCTTTTTAAAGATCGTAATGAAACTCATCCGAAGATGACCATTCCAGTTACGTAAAACAATAGAGATGTTTTACATTTAAAAAAGAGAAGACATACACATGTGAAAAATGAAATTATTGTAAACATTAGCCTCAAACCGAGTGCTTCGAGTTTGTTAATTGGTTTGATGTGAAAATATTGTAATTGTTTTTGATGATATTTCTTTCTTTTTTGTCTTTTACTACAGAGACTGGCTTTTGAAAGTCACACTAAAAGAATATTAGAAAATATGCTCTTTGCTACAGTTACAAAATGACAAACCAAAAAAAATTGGGACAAATGTACCTTCCATTCATGGTCAACATATGCCTAGGATAAGATCCCAGAAAACGAATGTTTTTTAAAGACTGCAACCTGTCAATCATATATGTAACGCCTTCCCCAAATCGGTCCCCAACAGGTTCCTATCAAAAAACAAACAAAAAATGATCTCAAATGATAGTTCCCCTCCCCCTTATAAACTAAGCTTTTAAATTTCCCCTTACCGACAGAATATATCATTCAACCTACAAGACCCATTAAAAATTGCACTAAAACTACAAGCTACTTTACCTAGAAGACTTACTCGTATAATTAAAAAGATGGTAACTAATCTTTGAAATTTCACCCAAGGGGACAGAAGATATTATTCAAATCACGGGAAACAATTTTATTTCTTCTTTGAATGCACATGCACACTTTGAACACCTGAAGCGCAAACTCCTTGACTTAGAACACCTGCTCGTACAACAAAAAGATGGTGAAGACGTTGTAGTTGGCGTGCACCCAGCTCTCCCCGTAGCCCCCGTCCACCAGCATGACGTAGACCTGGTCCCCGAACCCCAGCTGGGCGATCGTCTGCGTGGAGCTGGACGGGTAGAAGCCGGCGTTCTTCGAGTCGTCCGCCCAGAGCGCGGCTATCGGCCGGTTGTTGATGAACACGCGGGCGTTGACCTTCGCCCCCGGATGTGACATCAGGTACAAGGAGATGACGTAGGTTCCTGGTATCGTACAGATGAACATACCCGTGGTGTTGTCGTAGTTGTCGTCCAGGTCTGTGAATAGTTTAGTTTGTTGGTTGTTGTTGTTTTTTGGTGGTGTCAGGTACAGACTTATGTCCTTTCAATTTGGCATGCACTTAGTCTAGTAGACAGATATTTTTAGATGTAAGATCAGTGGCGTAGCTAGGGATTTGGGGGGGGGGATTTGGGGGGCCAGGGGCTTGGCCTCTTTAGGGGCCCCTGCATTTTAACATTCGACATTATTTAATGTAAACAAAATTTCGGAAACGCCTTTGGGGGCCCCCTTCAAATGGGGACCGGGGGGACTTTCGAATTTGGACCCCCCTCCCCTAGCTACGCCACTGTATAAGATCATATAGGGATAGGCTATAAAGATTTGAAAAAAAATGTATTTTAACATATTTCGATCCAAATAATATACTAATTAAACACAAGACATTTGTTTCACATATTCNATATAAAATTGATAATCACTACCCAACAACAGTTTTGAGGAACGAACGTGTATTTTCATGTAGCAATTGAAATGGGAGCTCTAAAATGTATGTGTTTGTCTTTGTTTGACTTCTCTGGGTTTAGGCTGACACAAAAGTATATTTTAACTATTAAGGACGCTTGATGGGTGCCCCATTTATCTGCTACAAATAAGTCCAATGCAGATCTTGGGTACAATTTTAATAGGCAACTCATTTAAAGACACAAAAGTCATCCACGCCGGCACTGAACGAGATTTGCTTGTGTGTCTAGCTTCGGTGTCTTAACCCTTTGGAATTGATTCGTTTCACAGTTATTAATGAGAGTCCTGTTTCATACCCTCAAATTCTTCTAACATACTTTCCACATAGCACCGTTTTATTTATTTGTTTGATTTCTATAGTGAACCCAGAGGCGTAGCTAGAATGTTTGGCGCCTGGGGACAGATTCATTTTAAAGCGCCATCCTTTCTTTTTCAAACCCCCAATCCCATTATTTTCACCAATAAAATAATATCAAAGCACATTTTTGCGCCCTTAACTAGTCTGGCGCCCAGGGACATCAGTTCCCCTCTGCCCCCTTTAGCTACGCCTATGAGTGAACCTGCTTCATGAGATAAGAGCTGTTTACGCCTGGCCAAAACATACAGTTGTTTCATTCGTTCAACTTGATAAAATCATTCAACAACACAAGACGATTTCGTTCCTCTACTTAAACCGTACATGGATTTTAAAGAGTTAGCTTAAAGAAGCGTCTCCCCAGCGGGAAACATTCCCCTTACCCAGGAGTTCTAAATCAAACGGAATCATCGTGTCCTTGGTGGGGCCGAAATGGGTTGTGAGAACCGCTGACACGGCGGCCTGTGACCTCGGCGGGACGGACAGCGGCCCAAAGTCACACGCGGGCCCAACACAGGGCAGGTCGGTGCTGTTGCTCGGGGTGCCGCCGGTGCTGTTTGCACGGCCGCCGCCCATGGTGCTGTCGACGTTGATGCTGCTGCCGCTGCTGACGGCGTCCCCACCACTTTTGGTGTTTTTGCTGTCGACGCTGGTGGATTTGGTGTCTGGGTTGGGTTTCCGTAAGCTGAAGTCCTGAATCATGTAGGCACTGATGGGCGGCACAGCTGTGGAAAAGAAAATAATTAAACAAGTCGTCTTAACCGACGGGTTATCTCCTCCCCCAACAAACTTTTGGAACAAAGACCCGTTCATATTTCCTTAAGGGTCGTTCGCAAATTAAATCTCGCTCAGGGTTGGAGGGGGGGGGGGGGGGGGAATTTGGGACAGGTTGGGACGGGGGGGGGGGGGGGGGGAAAAAAAATTGGGGGGGTCCGTTTTTTTTTTGTTTTTGGTTTTTTTTTTTTTGTTTTAGTTTTTTTTTATTTAAAATTTTCTAATTTTGAAAAATCTTTGTTCAATTATTTTTTTTTATATTTTTTTTTTAAATAATTGGGGGTCGAAATTGTCTCAGGTATTATAGGTACTATGAAACTCAGTCGCTCACACCTTCTACGCATATCGAAAAATGACGAAAAACGTTTGTGGCCAAATTACATTTGGCTTGTGGATGACTTCGTTTTTTTCGCGTCAATGTTTTCTAATAATACTACATCTTAATCCATTATGAGAAAAAGTTAAAGAATTTTTAAAAATCTTAGGTTACTTATGAAAATTGTATGCATGTTTTGATTTTTTTTAGGTGTGGCGTGACACTGCGGGGTGGGGGGGGGGGGAAGGTCAAAGAATTTGTCACACTTTGTGACAGGGTAGGGAGGGGGGGGTCAAAAAAATGTCATTTTTGCGTGACGTAATTTGCGAACGACACCTTATGTGTGCATATCAAAATTTTAGAAAATTGTATGCATGTTTTGATTTTTTTTAGGTGTGGCGTGACACTGCGGGGTGGGGGGGGGGGAAGGTCAAAGAATTTGTCACACTTTGTGACAGGGTAGGGAGGTGGGGGTCAAAAAAATGTCATTTTTGCGTGACGTAATTTGCGAACGACACCTTATGTGTGCATATCAAAATTTTCGCTTGATGCACTCATTTTTATTTTGATGTCTGTGAGACGTTAATAAGCATATGAAACTACCCTTTAAACGTGAAAAAATTGCTTCTTTTTTACTTGGAGAGGGAAGGGAAGGTTTCATGACGTCATTTCTCTCGTCATCAGGCGTCTAGATTTAGACAGTGTAAAAAAAAAAAAAAAAAATGTCGTGTGACATGTGCGCACGTGAAAGATTTGGATTTTTATTTTTAAAAATGTGTACATCAATTATGATGTGACTTTCAATCCAAACACATTTGACTTACCAATATCCGACTCCTCTGCTGATGGTGCACTGAAGTGAGATGGGTCGCCTGCGGTTACATCACTTCCTCTTCCGGCGTCAATCTTAAGGTCGGCGTCATTCGACGAGATGGTGACGTTTGCTAACGAGCCGTTGGTTGAAGCGTTCAAACCATCAAAAGCGCTTGATTTAAAGGTGTGAGCTCCGACAGGTACCAACCTTTCAATGTCTCTCACGTGTGGTTCTTTGGTGCCGTCTCCAACAGAGGTGATCTGAAATGATTCATTTCTCGTTTTCAAATTGTTGGCTCCTGGATTCATTGTGGTTTCAAAATTGGTTCTGTTTTTGTCACTTTGGCCTGAAATGTTGTTCTCTTGCTCCCCTCCGTTTTTCTGTGAAATTTCCGACAACCATGACGTCACATTACTCACGGAAGAGTTGTCACGCCCGCCACTAGCCGCTGCACTAACATATTGCGAACTGCTTGTTAGTATCTCCCTTCTCGTCACAGAAGATTTTTGTACATCTTTAGAGTCTGTCAAATTAACGGTCATCCCGTCGTTAGAGTATGTCAAATTAACGGCCATCGCCTCAGAGCTGCTGTTTGTAACGGAATCGATGGCGACTCCACCGGCTGTGGCAAAAACCGGCATCGTTGTAAGGTTGTGCGAATTAACTGACTGGCTTTTTAAAAAGTTCTCAACACTTATGCTGTCGTCTTCCACCTGGGTAGCGTTTTCTCTCAGATTGTTACTTTGGAGATCGTTTGTAGCAGACGTGTTATTGTCCAGTCTGTGGCCTTGGTTTGGGTGTGAGCTTCCGTTTACCAAATTGGAAACAAGAATTCTTTTTGCGGCGTCACCGCCGTCTTGTAGTTGGGGCTCGTGAGTTTGAAGTTTCTTGGAGCTGGGGATGACCACATTTTTCATCACTTCTGGTACCACCGAAGACGTGTTCTTTTTTTCTACCAGTGAGTGGTTTCCTGCGGGAGATGTTGTTTCTGAATCTTGTAGTGTTTGATTTAAGGATCTTCCCATTGATGATTTCAATGTATCATTAAATCGAGCATCTTCCTGCTTTGTTGTTGAATTTCCATTGACTTGCTGATCTGTTGTGATGTTTGTATATAATGTTGAACGTGGCGTGTCGTGGCTTGCTGGGTAAGTTGTATTATCTTCGGAGCTCACGATGAAACGTCGGGTTGTGTTTCTCGAATCCACTTCACGAGAAGCATTTCTCGTCTCGTTCAGGTCAGTGTAACCAGAAAACTGGACGTCAGCAATGCTCAGAAGTTTTCTGGAGAAATTTGAATCAGACAAAAAAGTGGTTGTCAAAATTTTCTCTTGAGGGTTCAGTGTGGAGGTTGTGTTGGATTCGCCTGTGATATTTCTCTGCTCATCACTAAGAACTTCTTGCTCGAACGTACTGTTGTTTGAATTAGAAGTAAAATGACTTGAATTCCCGACAGTTCCTAAGATATTTTGCCCTTCTGCATTTGAATTATTTAGGAGACTCGTATTTGAATGTACCATATTTAAACTATAACTTGCGTTTCTAATTTCTATAACGGGGCCTATGCTTAAGTGTTTCTTCTGTTGTTCCTTTACATCCTCTGTGGAAAGACTGGAAGATTGGCTTTGTGAAGCCGCACTATTGATAGTTACTGAACTGTTATTATCGTGCCCAGAGCTACTCTGTGCAGCCTGAGTATCGTTGCCGCTCTCTGTTACAGATTCAGCCGTGGCAGTGTCTTTGAAGACCCATGTATTGTTGCCTGCGTATTGCAGGGTAACATTCGGATTGGCTGTCGAGACTTTAGCCGTTTCCGGTGCTGCATGGACCCCCATGACTTTCAGACTGAGGTCTTCCGTGGATCTCTGCACGTCATCTGATTCCAAAGGGTGGTCAGAGACCTTGGACCCGTTTCCGGAGGGAACAATGGGCAGCGGAGTAGTATTGTGTTGCAAGAGAGATTTTTCTGACAGAGACTCAACAGATCCGTTAAGGTCACGGGAAACTGACATTGGGTCTGCCGGAAGTTTTGATGTTGACATATTTCCCAGGGATCCGAAAACTTCTTCTCCGTTGTCTTGAGGCGCTATTTCAGCTAATGACATCTGAATGTGTTCTTTGTCACTTCTTCCTGAGTTTAGCCTAGTTTCGTTGTTTGACATCACTTCCTGTGGGGATGTATTGTCATTTTTCTTAAAGCTGCGGTCGCTTCCATTACTCGCCAAGTGGCTGTCGGTGATCTGAAGGCTTACATTGGATTTACTGTTCCCCACGTCACTACTGATCAAGACCTTATTCGATTGGATAAGTTCTTCTTTATTCGTTGTGGAGGTCTCGTTTGTGTCCGCTGTGGAAAGCCCATTCTCTTTTTTGTTGATTGAATCCCCTGACACATTACCTGGTTTATTCAACGCTGAAACATGGTCGCTACTGCTCAGAACTACAGAAGCCATGTACGCCGTTGGTATTTTTTCACTTTCAGCAGATTTGACGTCATCTCTAGTGGTGCTCTCATTGGTTTCGTGACTTACTGACCCATTGCTATTTTCAAACGTTTCGTTGGTACGATTAGCTTCGGTATTGTCACGTATTGAATTCCGTGTATCATTTGTAACAGAAGCTGGCAAGTCCATTTTGACATTATCCTGAAACGTCGAGCTAGTGTCTGTGAAATCGTGTACTGCAGTGACACCTACGCCGTCAAAGCTTGACGACAATTCAACGCTAGTTATATTTTTATGCGAAAAGTCTGCGATGGTCAAGTCTTCAGATTTCAGGGACGAATTGGTTGTAGTGATGTTAGTCTTCGTTCCGTCGTTTGGGTTGTCTAGGTTGGAAGAATTAGCGCTCAAGACATTTAGTGAACCGCTGGATAAAGAGAGATTGGATCCTACGTCACTGAGCTCCGCCATATTTGTCAGTGTTGCGTCCTTCAGTCTGATTGTAGATGGAGAATCGCTACCGTTATTTTCAATTTTGCTTAATAGACCATCAATACTTTTTGAATCCAATTTTGAAGTTTCGGTAAATATTTCTTGCCCTTGTTCAACGGATGGCAAGGTGACTACCGAAAAGTTATTCAGTGATTTAGGTGGTATCACATTCTTGGTGAGAACCGATATTTTTGTGGCTACGTTTCTCAAAATCGGCATCGTTTCTTCATTTTGTTCTGAGATTGTGGTATCGTTTCTCAAAATCGGTATTGTTTCTTTATTTTGATCTGATATTGTGGTATCGTGTCTCAAAATCGGTATTGTTTCTTCATTTTGATCTGATATTGTGGTATCGTTACTAGTAAATATTAAACTCGTTCCGCCTGAAGGGATATCAGTGCCGTTCTCTATTGACGACGGCACATCACGGGATGATTTCTCCAAGGTGCGCGAAGCGTCGTCCTTTTCGTCTTGAGATGTAATCGGTGAGACTGATGCATTCTGATGTTTGGATGTAACTGCCCCTGTAGATTTCTGAATGGGAACATCAGCGACAAGATCCTTATTTTGTGAAGTAATGTTGCTCTGATCGATCTCTTTTGATTTAACCGTAACTTTTTCTTCGAGGGAGGAACGCTTTTCAGTTTTGTCTTCTCCCGTTCCGCTTGTCGCATTTGACGCAGAAATGTCGCTTGTGTTACCAGAGTTATCACCCCTTTGCATTATAGCACCGATGTTTATGGCTTCCGCCTGCAGTGGCGCCCCTTGGTTCTTGTGCACCATCTCCTGGGAATTCGCGCTCACTTCAAATTGTTTTGCTTTTCCGAGTAATCTCTCCGCCTCGACGTCGACAGCATCACCAACAGTCTTAACGTTTTCTAAGTTAGAGTTCGGGGGAACGTTTGGTCTGCTTTCTTTGCTCTCTTCTTTGACTGCGACCCGATTTACAATTTTGGACGACTTCTTGACATATTCAGTTAAATCTCGGCGATCTTTATTTTTGGTTTTTCCCAATCTATCGCCTGAGACATCTCCGTCAACTGGCGCCTTGTTTTTCTTGTTTTCTTTTGATGACCTAAGACCCTTGTCCATTCCTGTGTCCTTGAGGCTACCCAGGTGCGAGGTGTTGATGGTCTCAGCAGACGATCTTTTGTTGAACGACGGGTCCTCATCAACGTAATTCTCCAAAGTGTAAAATGAGTTGACGTTTGCGTTGAGCTCGCGTGGATCCTTGCTGCCCTTAGGACTGATGTCACGCTTTCCTTTACCTTCTCTGTCTTCGTTTTCTTCGTACATGAAAGGATCGTCGACGCCGTACTCCTTGTCGTAAAACTGGAACTGCGACTTCACACCTGACGGCGCGTAGTGGCTCTCCGGATCGTAATAGTAGAAGAACATCGGCTTGTCGTTAGTTTTGATGTTCCGGTTCGGTCCAACGTTGTCGTATTCACCCTGATCTTTCTCGAACGTCTTTTCATAATTCTTGCCCCGTTTCGATTTTTGCACCTCGAGAAAGTCTTTGTACTGGTCCGTGTCATCACTCATCCCGTACCGGCGAAGTTCTACGTCGCGATTATACCCGGAAGGATAATGGTACCCGTGGGGCTGGCCCATAAAGTCACCTGGATCGCCGTATCCCCGGGGGGCGACGAGACCATCGTCCCCATACGTATCATCGTTGACGTCGTAGTTTTTCATTTTGTCGATGTGCACCAAGACCCCGGAATCATCGTCATCGGAAACGGGCCTCGATCTCGTGTCAGGGAAATCAGTTTCAGGAGCCGCGTCCTCCCAGTCAGTGTCCGCTTTTCGTTTCGCCAACAACCAAGCTGATATCCTCTCCTCCAGAGTCAAGTATCCTCCTGGAGCCATTACCTCTGATTTTTTCGCGCCCTTTTCTTCTTTCGGGTTCTTTTTTTCATGACCATCGATTAACTTTTCTGATGTCTTTCGCGAGATCATGGTTTCTTTCTTTGTGTTTTTGCGGGAGAGTTTTTCCGATTTCAGCTTTGTTTCGCGTGAAGCCAAAGCCTTGTTTGGGTTTTTGTTGACACCCGCGGCACCAGGCTCTGACCTGACAGAGCGTGTTTTGATGACTCTGCTGTCCTTGCCTTCCTCTGCTCTAAACTTATCTCCTGGAAAATCCTTTCCCGCGTCTTCAGTTTTCACCGACGCGTCAGTGTCCCATTCCAGGTCTGGCTTTGACGGCGAACTTTCAAGAGTGTCGCCAGTGGCAAGTTCTTGATCAAACGGTGTGCCGTTCAAGGCACCACTGTTTTCCTCTGTTGGTCTTTCGATGCCGTTTGTAGGCAGCACGTAGGCACACGTTGGCAGGATCCCGAAAAAAATAATCAAAGCCGCCACGGTCGTCCCTTGGACACGAACATGCTTCTCCATCCTTGAACCAATCGTCCGTCTTGGAAGCTCCATGCACCTTCTTGACAGACAAAACAAAAAGAGCGAATCCATGATGCTTTTTTTTATTAAATTATTTGTTTAGCTGCGCGATCAAAGCTTACATTCTGTAATTCTAATATTATGTATACACAAGGTTAGTTTGCTCTTACCACTGCCTGGTAAAGTGAATTAAATTAAAATACATTTAAAGCATGCCAAATTTAATCCCTATAAACGTATGCATTAATGTTAAATTAAAAGTGATACAAAGGCTAAACTTTTACGTATCGCCGCTGTGCTCTATGAAAATATTCTAATGAGTGAAACATCACTCAATTAAATTAAAAGTGATGCATGTGCTAAACTTTTACATATCCCAGCTGTACTGTACGAAAATATGCTAATGAGTGACGTATCACTAAATTAAATTAAACAACTTATCCGAAATAATGTTGTTTTGTTGTTGTTGTTGTTTTTTGTAGAGAATAAATTTTAGGAGTAGATTTGTCCTTTTATTGTTGAATCATGACATGGTCAATATCTCCAAACACTCTTTAAAAAATGTTCTAGTTATTAAATTAGTCATAACTCGAGAAGCGAAGAGTGATAACGATAAAGCACAATAAAAGCTTTGGCTTAGACGTAAAGAAAATTTTAAAAAACGCATTATAAAACTCTTATGAGTCATGTTATCTTTAATGTGTGTTATGGTCTCCCATCTACTAGTGCTAAAAAGAACACAAACAAGCCAAACATTTCACTCACATTTTTGGAGAATCCAAAATGACGTCAGTTGTAGACTTTTGACAGGCCGTCAAATTTGTTCGTGGCAATTTTTCACAAGACTGTTATTAAATAAGAGTTACTTCTCTTATTCTCCTATGGATAGAGATGGCGACAACGAAAACCACAAAAAAACTATCTAAAAATCTCAAGTTTCCATATTTAATAGCCACTACCACACTTGATATTTAGTTTTAAGAACGAAAATCACACAGACTTCCACTGATGGGAAATGATCACGAAATCCAACAGGCGATAAGCTGTGCCTCGGCAACAACGCAAGACTCGTGGTGGTGATGGCGGCTGTCGTCCGTTCCTTTGATTGAGCCGGGCTCACTTTTCAGGGGAGGGAAGCAGGCGTGACCAACAGACTTTCCAGCGTGGGGTCAGAGTTTTGCAGGGCACCTGGGAGATCTCCGGTTGTTAAGACAAATAGTGTCTACTCGTCGCCAGGTTTTATTGAGCCAACCAATCCCTCTCCCCCCGACAATGTGTGGTCCTGTGGAATTATCACCAATCCTAGGTTGGTTGTTTTTTTTTTTTGTTTTTTTTTTTTTTAATCCTCAAAATTTAATTGGATGAATGGTCAGGCGCAATATATTCAATTTGATTGCAAAACCAATCCCTCTCCCCCCGACAATGTGTGGTCCTGTGGAATTATCACCAATCCTAGGTTGGTTGTTTTTTTTTTTTGTTTTTTTTTTTTGAATCCTCAAAATTTAATTGGATGAATGGTCAGGCGCAATATATTCAATTTGATTGCAAGCGCCTTGAATCTAGACATGCTTTCCTTTTTCTTATTCTGTTGACCCTTGAGCTTTTAATTTTTAAAATTTCAATGTGGGTAGTGTACAGATACTAACTTCTGTTAAGTCAAGTTCTAACATAATTTACGTACTGTGTGAAGCCTCGAAATGTAAAATTCATTTCACCTCAAGAGTTTTCCGTCTGTATCGTAGCTACTGGGGGGAGGGGGGAGATCGTTCCCCACTACGACATTTCGAACTTGGGGCCGTTCAATAATTTTTTTTTCCGTTTATTGAAAAAAAAATGTGGTTTGTAAAAGTTTTGTTTCAGTGTAATTTCTGGAGGTAAAAAAAAAGGTAGATTTGATGCAACAGTAATGGAATCCACGAAGGTGGCGGAATGACAGGACATATTTATTTTGCGAATTTTTTAAATAACGTAATAAATGCGGTTGTTAAAACACATTGACGGTTGAAATAAAAATAACAAGTATTATTATTTTGTAACGTCTAAAAATAAAGGAATTGTATATATAATTATTTTGTAACATTTAAAAAATAGAGGGTTTGTGTACATTACTATTTTGTAACATCTAACAATAAAGGTATTGTAAACATTACTATTTTATAACATCTAACAATAAAGGTATTGTAAACATTACTATTTTGTAACATCTAACAATAAAGATATTGTAAACATTTCTATTTTGTAACATCTAACAATAGAGTGTTTGTGTACATTACTAGTTTGTAACATCTAAAAATAGAGGGTTTGTATACATTACTAGTTTGTAATATCTAAAAATAAAAGAATTGTTTGCATTACTAGTTTGAATGTAACATCTAAAAATAAAGGTATTGCATGATCGAATTCAGGTCGGGAAATCGTATGGGGACAGTGAAAAAATAATTGTGTCCTGAGACGCTTAGTGATTATCAGTACGATGGTATAGTGTTTTAATAAGCATTTGCTACTCAGTTATGGTAATATTGATTACACTTGCTATATCTTCATGACGGCTGAACAACAATTCAGCCAGGAAGAGCTACAATTAATAAATAATCCTAGACTCATAAAAGAGTAATACTGCAACATTTTTTTTTTTTTTTTTTTTTTTTTTTTTTTTTTTTTTTTTTATTTTTTTTTTGAGGTCGAATAACAGCATTTCTCAAACGCCCTTTGGCGCCGGTAAAGTTCAAGGTCATTAGAACGTTTTGGAAGCAGACGTGTCAAAAAAGCGGTCGTCTGCAGCCAACAGAGGGCTTTGTTTTATTTGTCTATCAGTGCTCTGTTTGTTTTAAAGTCAAACATAAAGGGCAGTCTTTGGTGATGGGAAGACAAAGACTGACAAAATTCTCTCCCTCTCTCTCTCTCTCTCTCTCTCTCTCTCTCTCTCTCTCTCTCTCTCTCTCTCTCTCTCTCTTTCTTTCTTTCTTTCTCAGGGTACAGGTAAGAAAAGCATCAACGATGGAGACGAGAAAGAATTGAAGTTTATATGTTATGCGAACATCTCGGGAGGCAAAACAGAAAACTAATATTAAGCCAGCTGGTTAAATAGACGGAAACCAACCATCTCCACACTCCATGGTGACAACCCATGTTCATGGCAGACGGTAGACACACCTTGTATACAAAAGACTGATATATATAAGACCACCTCACTATATATATATATATATAAGGATCCTAAAATATAGTGTTTTTTTTACCTTTATTTCTACTGGATCATACAATGTAAAAATGTAATGTACACTTATGGGTTTATAGAATATAATGGATGTAATGAGTGTAATGGATGTATTGTGCCTTGAGTCTCAACCCCCTAATTAGCCTCCTAGAAAGCAGGACGTCGTGGAGCTGTCAATGTTGTTCTCACACAAACGCTCACCTGGCAAACAGACCGTGGTGTTGCGTTTTGTTGGGAAGGGGGG